CCCAAGAAATGCTATCAGTATGGCCTTCTTAGAGGCAAGAAAACTGGGAAAAAGATTTCTTACAAGATTCAAACCACCTTCATGCAAAACATTTCTCTTTTTTTTTTTTTTAATTTTTATTTATTTATTTTTTTAAGTTGTGGTTATTGTAAATGTAATCCAATACTATATAATCTGATAACAAAACTATACAAATCTGCATCGTTACAAGTGGATATGACTGCTACACATGGAGCATGTTATCCTGGAGTTAATTACTTTCCCTTCTTAGAATTATTATTAGTGTTAAAGCAGCCCATGGAGTTAGACTCAGAATAAAACTATGTGGTGTGGATAATTTCCAGCAGGATAGGCTCAGTGACATGAAATGTAGAGGAAATGAGAGACCCAGTGCTGCCATTCTCAAAGTGTCATCTCCTTTCTGTAAAAGAAGGAAAACTGGTAAATTAGGAAACACCACATCTCTGGTCTTTATGTGCTTTTAATCATTTGAGCCATAAAGAGACATTACTAAAAAAAATGATCTGGCATAAGACTAGAAATTGTTGCTTCAGTATTTAGGGAACTCTATCAAGATTTTTTTTTGGATATGAGATATGAATATGTGTTCCTAGTAGGTGAGTCACAGATTCCTACGTCTCCTCTGCTCCAATTCCAATTTATCCAAGAAATGGTCTTATCTTTTCATACCATCACTTTCTGTTACATGAAACCAAGCCAATTTCATCTGCTGCTATGTGTCTGAACAGAATTGGGCATGTGAAATATATTGTCACCTAGGTATTCCAGATGTACCAGTACAAGCTGGAAAATAAATCAGAAAGGACCTCTTCCTATAGGGAGACTTGATTTCAGATTTATTACACTGATGCTTAGACTTTGGAAGGTCAGCACATTACAATTGATTTCAGTGAGAACAGAAACAAGCCCTTGTTATTCAGAAAGTAGTTATTCCTGTAGGGTGAAAAGGAGAGTTGTCTCCAGGAGGCAAATGTAATAAAAATTAATTGGTACAACTAAATTAAAAAAGTATAGGTATGAAAAATCCTAATACCTTGAATCTTTTAAGACCAATCAAATGTAGTTAATCAACTGCATATTCCCATATCTGGGCACCCAGTAACCCAGGTTCTAGAAATGTTGAATAGGGAGAGAAATTAAAGACTGCTGAACTCTGGAAAAAAGAAAAACCTCAGCTTACAGTTTGGTTATGGATCAGGAAAAAAAAAACAAAAAACTCTTATTAAGCTGAGAAACTGAGCTGGTCTTGCAGGAGTTAGGTCAAACTCCTCTAATTAGAGAACAAACCAATAAACACCTTACTCTAGAAAGGGCATTATATAAATGAAGAACAATTTATTAGACCACCAAGTTGGATTTTGGCACAATTGCCTAGCAAACGAGGATAAATCCCCTGTTCTCTTTCAAAAATTTCTACCTTCTGTTATTTCAGATGACTCTTGCTAAGAAAAGGCCAGTCTCAGAAACTATTTGGAGTAGAGCTCTGTAGGTTGCTCAGCCAGACATTTTTTACTAAAGAAGACAAGACTGATCTTGCTGGCCTGTACATAGAACTGACGTTAATCTCCAAACTAGCTGTTGCTTTGAATTCTCTGCAGAGATTTCAGATGTCTTTGTTCAACCATTTCTTTTCTTTCCGGAATATATCTCAGACTGCACTCTGATTTTCTCATCCTTTTCATGCTTGTTTTACAGTGGCAGAATTCTCTTCAGATTATTGGGTCTTTACCAAGCACACTATATTCTGGTGTACAGCAGCAATAATATTTTAGATTAGATTAGTCCAAATTTCCTGATGGCACCTCTTTAATTAGAAGATGAAAGAGGGAGAAAAAATATTGTAAGAAAGAGTCTTGGTTGAAACTCTAAAGCTAATAAAACAAAACAAAATACAAACAAAACAGAAACAACAAAACAAAGCAAATAAACAAGAAAAACAAAACAAAACAACAACAACACAGAAAAACAAACAACCAAAACCACTTATATATTTTTTTCTATAGTAATTGGTAGCTTTAAATACTTAAAATATAGGTAATGAATAGAAACACAGCAGACATTCTTAATCGTAACATTAGCACAGATGTTGGAAGGCAGACTTTCTAAGGTATTTTGTAGATTTTAATAACACTCAGCTTCTTCAGTTCTTTGGGAATTACCTATTTTTGTAAATCTGGAACTCCTAGCACAGAATAAGTCATAATGTTTTTCCTCACATTGAGTGATGTGTTTGAAAGTGATTTTTTTTTCCCTAAAAGCTCTGCTAGATCACTGCATACTGCATAGTCACTATGCATACACTGCATAGGTGGCAACCTAAATAAATGTTTTCTGGCAATAAAGCTTCCATCTTTGATCCACATGTTCATGACAACAATAACAATCAAAACACAAATGATTTTACTATAAAACATATCCTTGATTTTCCATGTTTTCACCGCTTGTCTAATATATGTTCTTAAAAAATTGTTTTGGGAAGGAATAGGGCCCAGGACAAAACAAAAACAAAGAAACAAAAAAATAATGATAAAGTAACATTTACTTTTGAGAAAGATTAAAGAAATAATAGTAAAAAAAAAAATGAACTTGTATGAGCAAAATCTTTGCATATATTTTGACATATAAAATGTCATTAGAAGTCAGAATAAAATTATATATGATTTTAATATGATTCAAACATAATTTGAACATGTCTTTTAATATAGAATCATAGAATCATTAAGGTTGGAAAAGACCTTCAAGATCATCTGGTCCAACCATCCCCCAACCACCATAATCACCCGTTAAACCATGTCCCTAAGCACCATGTCCAAACTTTCCTTAAACACCCCCAGGGATGGTGACTCCACCACCTCCCTGGGCAACCAGTTCCAATGCATGATTGCTCTTTCTGAAAAGAAATGTCTCCTCATTTCCAGCCTAAACTCTCTCCTGACACAACTTGAGACCATTCCCTCTAGTCCTATCACTAGTTACCTGTGAGAAGAGGCTGACCCCCAGCTCCCCACACCTTCTTTTCAGGTAACTGTAGAGAGCAATAAGGTCTCCCCTGAGCCTCCTCTTCTCCATACAAAATATTCTATGATATTTTAAATATGATTCTACATATAACATTAATGGGAATAATTTGTAGTTTTCTTTTTGTTATAAAATAAGAACTAGGTTTTAAATACCAATGAAAAGCCTAAATTTGTAGCAATTTTACTCAGAGCCTTGAAAAATTTGAAGGCATCTAGAAACTATAATCAACACAGAAGGAACTATTCTTCTTGTACTATTCTTCATCATTTTTGTTTCTGAAATTAATGGATGTAAACGGAGTACAGAGCAGTTTGCTCACATAAGAGTATAGGGGGAAAATAACACACCAGGAAAAAAAAAAATAAAAATCTTTAGGACTGACGCCTCTGCAGTAGCAGCAAGTTGCGACTCTGGTTTTCATAAAGGCATTTAGAAATACAGTGTGTGCAGAAAGGTACCAGTGTGAGAGAGAAATGTATTTTGAGAGTATGCATGGACAAAAACACACACCTCAAATAAAGGCTCACAGTGTAAGTTAGGGATAAAGGGGTTATCTATGGGAACACTGAGGACAATTAATGCTTTGATCTCTTGGCAGTACTATACAGAACAGAGTGCAATCAGATTGCAGGGGGATCACTTTTGGATCTTAACTATCAGGGTCAAGTAAGCCCTCAAATTTATCTGTGTATATTCTAGCAAAATCTAGGGGAACTGACCCAAATTGCAATAATATCTTTTACTCTGTTCACTGGCAGAGGTACGGTTGACATCTGAGCTGCACCAAATGGAAAAAGTGTGTCATCTGGAGCCCCTGCCACATCATATGACAAGCGCACATTCATCAGCTCGGGGAAGTCAGCAAACCCAGAAGAGCTTGGCACTATTACTCTAATGTAACACAGCAGAAGGGTGCTAAGAGTTTTCCCCAAAGTTTTGACTCTTTTCTATCTGAGACTGTGGAAAAGCTAAAACAGTTTAACAATCAGAGTGACATTGTAGCTATATTTCAAACACAGTTGTATGAATCCACAACTGATAAGAACTCCTAAATGCTATTCCGTCTGCTTCTGACAAAGCTGCAGCCCATCTCCTTTGCCTGCTTGCACTGTCCGGATTCTTATATTAGCAACATCACACATTTTCTTCATACAACTAAACAAACTCAGCAGGAAGTCAAGAGCAAAGGGATTGTAGGATCACACCCTAAATCCCCAGCATGGAGCACAAACATATGCATTTCCCAGAGAAATTAGTTTTCTAAACTGACTTGGAATAAATTACCCAGACCAGGGTCACCTTAGCTGAAGTGAACAATGAAATGTGAAATCTTCTTTCAAAAACGCTGGGCAGAGAGTGAGCAGCGAAGGGTAAAGTAGTATATTTTGTAGTGCCTCATGAGAAAAATATATCTAATCTGGGTATCAGTTCAGCCATGGTGAATAATTTAATCATACTTGTAAATGACGTTGTAATAAAAGGTCACCAGATCTGTCAGACCCTCAACTGCTTAGGTAAAATTAGATCTGCTCTACTGATGTTAAAAAATTGACATGCATAGTTAATCCTATCTTGCCATTAAAACCAAAACAACAAAAATAATGAACTTTGGAAGGAAGGACTAAAAATTCTCCTTGACATAAACAGCATTAAGAATTATAGATCTTGAATTATCATGATACAAGGGACTAGATCTCAGCCTTCATATAATAAGCCATTTTATACTGCTTCAACAATACAAAACAACTTTAAAATCACTTTTTTTTTTTCTTTTTTCTTTTTCCCCAGGTTGTGCTGGCAATTCCCATCATGAGTCACAGTTCCCATCATAAGCCAAGTCTAGTGTATAGATAGGGTGGGGTACCACTCAATACCATAAGGTTCGATAACAAAGCCTCTCCCTGGGACTATCAAAATATAGTCTGAAGGTCTGAAGTAGTCTCAAGTGATTCTTTTACCTGCATGAAGTGCGTATCTGGTCCACACAGTCCCAGAATAATCCTGTGGTAAAGAAAGAAGGTCAATATTAGTGCACATCTACCCACCTACTACTCTGCCATTACACTTCAAGCTGTGTTTGCATTGAATGCTACTGTAGCTGAATAAACCTTTGCCTTGTCTTATCCTTCATGTTCAGTGGCAAAAGGAAATCAGATCTATCTCTGAGATCTTGGTGTACATCACGGAGCAAAGATTGCCCAGGGAAGGAGACTTTGTGCACCAGAAATGGAAGCTTTGCTTATTCACGTTTGATGGAGGTGTTTTCAAATAATGGGTCTTCCTAAAAAGTATATTTACCAGAGATAATTGTTAATAAAATCTTTGTCATCACTCACAGTTTGCTGTTTACCCATGTGATAAATTGGATAACTGTATGATAAATGAACGCATCAATTTATCAAGCACCTTTGATCACTTCATCTTTACTTTGACTGGGAATCCATCATCATAAGGCTCACATTCATAGTCCAAATGTCTCTGCAGCCAAACCGCAGAAAACAAGTTGGTTCATGAGTATCAGAATGGACTTGGCCTGATACCTAGGGATTTAGCCCACATATCCCTACAATTACCCAGTGCAGTAACCCCAGTTCTTCCTGGTGTATTTTGTAGAATCAGCCACCAGGTGCCTCAACATCTCTAGTTCTGCCTCAGTCTCTAGTCCCTCCCAAAGTTGTTATCCTTGTCTTTCTCTAGAAACCCCTCAGTAATGGCTGGGCAAGAGGCATAATATATTGTAGTGAGACCAAAGTATACCTAGATTTTTGCTATAATTAAAACTGTTGTAAATTTTGTACCCATTAAAGGAAGATAACACAAGACCCAGTAGATACCAACACCTTTGCATATGTGTGGGCCTGAGCAGCTGGATTTGAACAGCTACATGCTCTTCAGCATAAATTAGTTCTTTTATTTATTCAGGTTCTTCAGTGTTATTTATTAATTTATTTATTTATATAACTTGTAGAGTTAGAAACACTAACAAAGGTGCTAAGCTTTACAGAAAAGATCACAATTATAATTAACTACTTGTTTTACAAAGCATTTAATTATAATTAACCTCCAAACCACATCTCAAATATTTCTGTACTGTATAGAATGCCTGGCCTTTGTGATACTGGGATAATGGAATGGCTGAAACACATTTGTATTGATCTGCATCACTGCTATCACTTTTGAGTAAAAGGGTCATGATAAACCCTTGCTGTCTGTGCGCACACACAGAGGTACATGCCAGTAATAATTAGGTATCACCAAGAAGCTCCCTAAGTGAGCCTAGCTGTTTTATCTGATTACACATAATTTAATATGAGAGCTGCAGTATTTACCAAGACAAAAGTGGTAGAGTTATGTCCTTTTTCCTTGCAGTCTAACCCCTCAAAAACTTTTCCTTAACTTCACTGAATACAGGACAGATATGGAAATAGGTAACTCCTCCCTTTTTACTCATTGAATTATTGGCAAGATAAATTCATGCACAGATGTATTTGGATTCCTCATCTGACATAATCTTCAGAATTTTAGCACCTTTCTGAATTACAATCTGCACATAATGTGACATGTTGATCTATCATAATTAGCTGAACTGTTGCTGCAGAAAAAAAAAATCTCAAGAAAACACCGAATATACCTAGTGATTAAAAGTATATAAATATAAAAATATATATAAATATATATATATATATACAGAGTTTCAAACAATAGTCACAATGTCTTCAAAATATGTCATCTTTGTCTGTTTTCCGTATTTTTTAGAAAAAGAAATCACACCACCTTAAAGAGTTTTCTTTTTCCAAGCTTGTCTGAGCTTCCCTTTTACTTTCAGCTATAAAACAACAGAAAGAAAACAAAGGGGAAGAAAAAGGAAGAGAGCCAGCTGTCCTATAACCCCTCAAAGTCCTCCAAATATCTTCAAAAGGAACGGCTGAGAGGCAAAGCAGAGAATAAAATGAATTAAAAAATCTATTACTTTAAAACCAATTACAGGAAAACAATTTTAGAATCAGTTTTCCATCAGAATAATTTTATTCCAAAATAATTATACCTTTTTTTTTTTTTTATCAACACTTAAAAAGAACTTATTTCCTCACTATTTGCTTTCTGTGCACAAAACTATCAAAATGTTGCAAAAATAACAATACAGAAAAGCATCCATGAATGTGGAGAGAAAGACACATTGTTTACTTGGTGTGGAAGCTTAAAGTTTGGTCAGCCTACTCAACCTGAGATGAAGCTGTCATCTTTTATAAAGCACCCGATTATGTCTCTTTTTCCCTTTAAAAAAATAAATCAAAGCTTTTATAAATCGAAGATCTTAAAATTACATCATACAGGAGTTAAAAAGTCATAATTTAAAGATCACAGAACTCAATGAAAGCTTGAGAGAATATGAAGAGGAAGAGATCTATAAGAATGTTTTAAAATACTCTAGACATAGACTAAAATATTCCAGATGAACAGTGTTTTAAGCAAGAACTGTGATGATTTCAATTTTATTTAGAGAGGTCTCTGCATATCATGCTACACAGATGACAAAGGCACATGCAACTACTATTGTGAGGAGACGAGTGATATAGCAAAATGGAAGGAGAGTGTTGTTTTAGGAAAAAAAGAGTTTATGATAAGATACACAGATTTGTCATGCATGGGCAGGAAGATGACAATGCTAGCTGTGCTGGTGCTGATTAAAAATATGGCCGGTGCTCTATGAGAGGCATTTAGCCAGGCAAAAAGAAGAGATTCTCTACTCAGGCAATTTATATTTCCCCTTCCTTATCTCCATTCACTCTTGTTTTCTAGCAGAGGACAACTTTGGTGGTAACCGCTTCAATGGTTTCCCTTGAACTCAAACTCAAACACAGAGAGTTGTCCAGCACAAATGCTTACGCCCTACATTATTTATTGTATATTGTTTGTTGTGTCAAGAAAAACCCTCAAAACCAGTAATCTATATAAATCTATAACAAATGAGTAAATCTGTTATGCCGGTTTTTGGTTCATTGTTAAACAAACATCTGAAATTTATTGTGCATCAGAAATATGAAAAAACTTAATTCAGTTACTCTTTGAACAGTACGGGAAATGGTTGTGATCAGTGCTTGAAGGACTTTGTGAAATTAGATGATAAAATTAAGTGACAGAAAGTTTATGTGCATTTAATAAATTACATTATACTATATTGTCACTGGTCAAAAACTTTTTTTCCTGCAAATTCAAGAATAGTCTAAGATTCCTATAACAGACAAGAAAAATCTCAGCTAACAATTAGTTAGCATTTTAGCTAGACCATCATGTAGTTCTGTGGCCTGAGGTGGAAATAAAGTGCTGTCGTTAGGTCAGTTATACATTATCATTTATTTATTTGTATTTATTTCATAACAAGAAGGGCACTTATCCAAAGGTCTAGATATGCCTGCAATTAGTTCCAAGAATGAAAATAAAATTAAATTCAGTTATCTCTGTGACAGTCAGCCAATAAACTCTACTCCCTCAACATGTATAGCTTCTTAAATAGTTTGAACTCTCAAAGCTTTCAATATTAAGATGATAAAGGCTGAATGTGACACAACTGTTCCTTTTATTTTTAGCGTGTTTGCATTTTTTCCTGGGTCTCCAAGGACACAACCTGATAGATGATGTTTCAAGGAAACAAATACAAGTTTTGTTATTCTCAGCACCTTTTTGCATAATAATGAGACTGGGCAGAGAGAAGGTTATGCTCAAGTATTAGTGCACAAGGTTTGCCTCTAGGCTGCTCTGCAGGAAACCTAAGCCCATAACAATTACAGTGTTTGTTACTGGAAAAATGAGAGAGAATAATTAGAATGATGCTCTTTGTAAGTCACCTGCTCTTTGTAATATATGTTTTCTAATTTAGTTTGGCAAAAGTGGCTTGTAACAGTATGAGTACATATTAAAGATGAAGCAATTAGGCAACTAAACAAGCATGATGACAGCTTTTTAGTAAATGGTTTAGCTTTTAATTTTGAAATGGCAGGTCCCACTGAGCACAATATTCTAGAACTGTAATTTTGTAGAATGTGACGATGTGTCGTTGGTAATTAATTAATCCCCACACCCCCTTTTTTTTTTTGTCCTAAGGAGACAGAGGGCAGTGGTTGCCTGTTTGCAGAGTTCAGCCTGTGATTAACACCACTGTCTATAAAACAGGTTGCAACACATCAACTACAAATTGGAAGCCCTGTTCTGCTACTGTCTGAAGTCGCTTTGCAAAGTGGAAGTTTGAAGTCTCCTCCAGCTGACCTGCACCATACTGCTGACATCCCTGAAAAGTTCCCTATAAATCCTCTTGCCAGCTTGTGTTCACCAAAGCTATGGAAATTCTTTCTTACAGTCCTCCAGGTAAACAGAAGCCCCCAGGGAAAATAAAATAATAATAATAATAATAATAAATCTTTTGGCAAAATTCTTAACTGGAGGTGGATCTGGTGAGCCTCAAGAGTTAGAGTGGTTCCATTAAATTTGATGGGGATACTCACTGGTTTCAAGCTACACGAGTAGGCAGAGTTTGTACTGGATCAGGCCCAAAAGGAGAAGGAGTGAAACAATGGGCCACCATGACATTTCATTAGAAATGTTTAATAAGCATCTGGAATGTGAGAGAAAACACCTCAAGAATTGAAAATCCCCTCCAGAGAAGAGAAATTTACCACTAAGCTAAAGAGAAAAGTAAGGGTGACACTCAGCTGGACACTGGGATAAAATCCAGCACTTTTCATTTCACTGCTCGATGTGGACCAGGATGAAGTGAACTACAGAGGAGAAAGACATACCTCAGGAACAACCAGGAAGCTTGTTTGCTAAAAAATACCTATCACTCAAACCTGGCTTTTATCACTCAGCTCCATCATCATGAACAGCTGCTGGTAAATATATTCACCTCTAATTTTTTTTTACCACCTAACTGAGCTGAAGTGCTACTGCTGCTCTCACTTGGCTTCCTCAATAAATGCAACAAAGCAAATCTTGTAATTGCTTTC